CTATCAGAGGAAAGGGTGATCTGTCTGCTCTCCCGGTGGCTCCGTCATGTCTCCGGATCCATGGAGATGCAGTTCAGCTGTTTTACGCCCTAACCCGGCTTCATGCCTATAAGGTCATCACAACTCTTTTAGGTCAAGAGTGATCACCCTGGCTGGCTTCTTCCCCCCTCCTCACAGGTCGGAGGAAGAAGAAACGGCATTGCGCCGTTCTCAGCGCCTGTTTGTGCATTACAGAGAGCGCTCGATCGGGCAACCTCTGTCTACACAACGGCTGTCACACTGGCTGTGTGAGGCTGTGTCACAGGCATATGTCTCCTCTGGGGTGGAGCCCCCGGAGAATATCAAAGCGCACTCAACCAGAGGAAATTCCTCCTCCTCGGTGTTGCGCGGAGGAATGTCAGTGGAAGATATTTGCACGGCTGCATCTTGGTCTTCCCCCTGCTCATTTATTCAATTGTATTTGAGGGATGTCTCCCTTTCCTCTCTGACACGCCCTGTACTGGGTGTCCTGTCAGAGTGAGTGACGTCAGGGATCCAGGGGATCCAGCTGAGAGCTCTCCTACCTGGGCTGACACGGAGAGAGCGGCTGTTCCCCCTCTATGATCGCAGGACAAGGTGGGACCTTCGTCTCTACTTTCTCACAGCGGTCGGTATGTATTGTTCCCAGCCTTCACCCCGTCAGGAAAACAGGTATGTTTGCTCCAGGGACGGGGATGTGCCATTATGCATGGCACAACAGGCAGGGGGGTGTTATTAAGCAGGTATGTCTGTGCTTCTAGTGCTGGACGGACCCAGTGGGGCGCAGACTACATCATGCTTCGCCCTTAACCCAATAGCGATAGCCTTAGAGGGCGAAGCCATATACGAAATAGAACTGAGGTTACCTAACTGTAACCCAGCTTCTATGAGTATTGGCGCAGCCCTCTAAGCGCTGGGCCCCACTGGCTCTACGAATAGCTGAAGAAAAGTTATATTGTATGGGAGCAGATCGCCGGGCAACCTCCCTATTTATACCGGAAGGAGGCCCGAGGGTGGGGCCCACCTAGCGGGTGGGCGTGGACTACAAGTGTTTTCAGTACTGCGCGGGGGCGCAGAAGGGTAAACCCAATAGCGATAGCCTTAGAGGGCTGCGCCAATACTCATAGAAGCTGGGTTACAGTTAGGTAACCTCAGTTTGTTAGTCTGTTGACGGTAGCAAACAAGGCACGTGAGTTGTTTTTATTTTTGTTAATGATGTCAGAGAACCTCGAACCTCCTGGTGGACACCGGTGGTCAGGGAAGCCGTCCGACTGAAGAAGGAGGCCTTCAGGGATTTGTTATCCCGGGGGACTCCCGAGGCAGTTGCAAGGTACCGACAGGCCCGAAGGGCAGCAGCCTCATCCGTGGCCGAGGCAAAGCAGCGGGTGTGGGAGAAGTTCGGAGAAGACATGGAGAAGGACTTTCGGGCGGCACCAAAGTTGTTCTGGAAAACTGTCCGACACCTCAGGAGGGGGAAGCAGGGAACCATCCAAGCTGTGTACAGTAAGGATGGGACGTTGTTGACCTCAACTGATGGAGTGTTAGGGCGTTGGAAGGAACACTTTGAGGAACTCCTGAACCCGACAACTCCGCCCTCTATGTTAGAGGCAGAGCTGGAGTATGACGGGGGATCAACACCAATCTCCCGGGGGGAGGTCACTGAGGTCGTCAAACAACTCCACAGTGGCAAAGCCCCGGGGGTGGATGAGATCCGCCCGGAAATGCTGAAGGCTCTGGGTGTTGAGGGACTGTCATGGTTGACACGTCTCATCAACGTTGCGTGGAAGTCGGAAACAGTACCGAAGGAGTGGCAGACCGGGGTGGTGGTCCCCCTTTTTAAAAAGGGGGATCAGAGGGTGTGTGCCAATTACAGAGGCATCACACTACTCAGCCTCCCCGGGAAAGTTTACTCTAAGGTACTCGAAAGGAGGGTCAGGCCGATTGTCGAACCTCAGATTGAGGAGGAACAATGCGGATTCCGTCCTGGTCGTGGAACGACGGATCAGCTTTTTACTCTCGCAAGGATCCTGGAGGGGGCCTGGGAATACGCTTATCCGGTCTACATGTGTTTTGTGGACTTGGAGAAGGCGTATGACCGAGTTCCCAGGGAGTTACTGTGGGAGGTGCTGCGGGAGTATGGGGTGAGGGGGTCTCTACTCAGGGCCATCCAATCTCTGTACTCCCAAAGCGAGAGCTGTGTCCGGGTCCTCGGCAGTAAGTCGAACCCATTTCCGGTGAGGGTTGGCCTCCGCCAGGGCTGCGCTTTGTCACCAATCCTGTTTGTAATATACATGGATCGGATTTCGAGGCGTAGTCATGGGGGAGGGGGTCTGCAGTTCGGTGGACTAAGGATTGCACCACTGCTTTTTGCAGATGATGTGGTTCTAATGGCTTCATCGGTCTGCGACCTTCAGCACTCACTGGATCGGTTCGCAACCGAGTGTGAAGCGGCTGGGATGAGGATCAGCACCTCCAAATCTGAGGCCATGGTTCTCAGCAGGAAACCGATGGACTGTCCACTTCAAGTAGGGAATGAGTCCTTACCCCAAGTGAAGGAGTTCAAGTATCTCGGGGTCTTGTTCTCGAGTGAGGGAACAATGGAGCGTGAGATGGGCCGGAGAATCGGAGCAGCGGGAGCGGTACTGCAGTCGCTTTACCGCACCGTTGTGACGAAAAGGGAGCTGAGCCAGAAGGCAAAGCTCTCTGTCTACCGGGCCATTTTCGTTCCTACCCTCACCTATGGTCATGAAGGATGGGTCATGACCGAAAGAACGAGATCGCGGATACAAGCGGCCGAGATGGGTTTTCTCCGCAGGGTGGCTGGTGTCTCCCTTAGGGATAAGGTGAGAAGTTCGGTCATCAGGGAGGGACTCGGAGTTCAGCCGCTCCTCCTTCGCGTCGAAAGGAGCCAGTTGAGGTGGTTCGGGCACCTAGTTAGGATGCCACCTGGGCGCCTCCCTAGGGAGGTGTTCCAGGCACGTCCAGCTGGGAAGAGACCAAGGGGTAGACCTAGGACCAGGTGGAGGGATTATATCTCTTCGCTGGCCTGGGAGCGCCTTGGGATCCCCCAGTCAGAGCTGGTTGATGTCGCCAGGGAAAAGAAAGTTTGGGGCTCTCTGCTGGAACTGCTACCCCCGCGACCCGACCACGGATAAGCGGAAGAAGATGGATGGATGGATGGATGTCAGAGAAGAACGATTGTCATGCCTTTTTTATTTCCTGATTATAGAAACCGAGTTTCTCTTTATATATTTCCAAGTGAACCTGGAGATTTGTTTTTCTCCACCTGCGTTCAGCTTTTCTGTACTCAGTTTTTGCTATTCTCACAGTCATGGCTTTTCTCCATGGAGATATTTTCTTGCCAGATACTTCCTTTATTTTAATGGGAGCGATGGTATCCATGACATTTGATATTTTAGAATTAAAATGATCAACTAGCTAATTTACTGAGAAGTTAGCATGGGCAAGTGAATGAGTAAAAATCTGGGCAAACATTTCTTGTGCATTTTCAGTTAAGTGACGTCTAGTGGTTACCTCTTTCTTAACAATTGTATGGGCGGTAATAGAGCTCTCAAAGAAAACACAGGAATGGTCGGAGAGCGCAACATCAGTCACCACAAGCTTAGAGATGTTCAGACCCTTTGATACAATTAAGTCCAGGGTGTGCCCCTTATTGTGCGTCGGACCCTTGACATGCTGAGTCAGTCCAAAATTGTCCATAACACAAAACAGTACGGTGGCCCTGAAGTGCAAGACACCACAGCATTTCACACAACACAACAGCATTTCAGAAAACGCCACAGCATTTCACAAAACACCACAGCATTTCACAAAACACAACAGCCTTTCAGAAAACACCACAGCATTTCACATTGGACGGAAAGGGTATTCCTTAGGGAGAACACTTCTTGTTTGTGATTGGACAGAGCCAGCCAGAGAAGCACTGCTGTGATTGGTTGTTTTTGCTGTCAGTCAAGAAATGACTCTTCGTGATTGGTCAACACCGATGGACAAAAGTTAAACATGTACAAACCACAGACTGTCTATGACTATGATGACTTGCTTTGATTTGTTTGGAAATGGGAGTTTTTATGCTAATCATTCCGTGTAATTATACATTTATACTAAGCCTCTCCCAGGGAAAGGTGCACAAGTGACAGTTCACATAGAAAGTAAAACACCTTTCTGTTGAGTGTATCGTAGCAAACAATGCCAGACTCTTTTTTGAATGTTGTCCGATCAATTTCTTTACATTGTCAAATGCTTTTTTTTAAATGTCCCACAATATAAGTAAGATGCATTAAGTACATACAAAGGTGTATTTCATGTTTCTGCTGTCTGTTCAGAATAATTGTCATATTTTAGTGTATTAAGCTTTTGTAAATGTCCCTGCTGTGAGCCCAATAAAGACATTTTGATACCAAACCTTTAACATCTATTTTGATTCCAACTGACACACAGGTGAACAGTATAATACATATATGTAAATTAACAACAGATATATTTAGTGTCTCAGATTGGTAATTACTTTGACTTTATAGTAGCACATGCATGACATGACGAAATGGTTGAAACCTGACAGCTGAGTGCTTGTTTACTTTATTTCCCTGATTTAAACATATTAGATATTTAACTGTTTAATAGACACAGGAGAATGTACATACATAAGCTTTAAAAAGGTATGGAACAGGCCTATATGTTATATTTATGTATTATATGAATGAGGTTGTTTAGACATGATCATCAGATTACCTAATAATCAAGCCTTTTGGAGGCCACATTAACATTGTTTTTAGGTTTGAGGTTAAATTTCCAGGTGTGTTTCTCTAGTCCCCAGAGCTGTTGCAACAGAAACTTAGAGGCAGAACAGGTTTTGATGGGAGTGTAGCTACATCACAGAGTAACCTCTTACTCAGTTACCATCCCTGTCATGACAGAGGGAAAGCAGAATTTGAAGAGACAGGTTTGAAAATAACTATCTTATGATGGATAATGTTTCTGTTGTGAAAATGTTCATTCTATCAGGGTTAAACGAGACAAATAATTACAGACTAACTCTTTTCACATTTACTTTACTGTATTACTGTGTGATTTTGTTTCTCAATATCTCTCTCATCATGATCATCATCTTGGATGAAAACATGCATGAACCCATGTACATCTTATTGTGCAGTTTTTGCATTAATGGACTTTATGGGACCACAGGTTTCTTCCCTAAATTCCTCTTAGATCTGCTGACTTCTTCTCAACAAATCTCATATGAAGGATGCCTTTTGCAGGCTTTTGTCATGTACTCGTTTGCTTGCTGTGATTTATCCATTTTAGCAGTCATGGCTTACGACAGATATCTGGCTATATGTCGACCACTACACTACCACTCTGTCATGTCAAAGAGGAGGCTCTCTCAGCTCATATGTTTCTCCTGGCTAACACCTTTCTGCATTTTCTCTGTTAATGTTCTGCTAACCTCCAGACTAAAGCTGTGTCATTTCAAAATACAGAGAATATTTTGTGTCAATTGGATGATTGTCAAACTTGCTTGTTTTGATGCTGATACCCTTTCAAACAACATCGCTGCATATATTACAATAGTCATTTATGTGTTTCATGGGATTTTCACAATTTGGACTTATATGCATCTTGTTAAAACTTGTGTTAGGTCCAAAGAAGACAGGGTAAAATTTATGCAGACATGTGTTCCTCACTTGACCTCTTTAGTCATTTTCATTCTTGCAATGTTTTTTGATTTGATGTATATGCGATTTGGCTCCAGAGATATACCTCAGAGTCTTCAAAACTTCATTGCTATTGAATTTCTGCTGATTTCTCCTGTGATTAATCCTCTAATATATGGATTTAAACTGACCAAGATACGAAACAGAATTTTAGGTTTAGTGTATATTAAAAGAAAATAATTGCTTCAGTTGAGTATATCCTCAAATGTAACAGATTGTAAAATAAAAATAAATGCAATGTTTAGGATATGTCATAAGAATGGGAAAAGGTTTTCTTTAAAATGTCAGCAGAATGTAATTTAATACGAACAAATAAATACAAGCCTGATAATATGTTGACGTCTACTGTCAATGCCGTTTACACTGTATATATTCATCTGTTTATAGCCTATTTATAATTATTCTATTTATAATAATTCCATGTATAATTATTCTCATTATGTAGACTCCTGTACTGCTATTTTGCACTTCTGGTCAGATGCCTAAACTTACATTTCGTCACTAGTACATGTACTACGTAATGACAATAAAGTTGAATCTGAATCTGAATAATATGTTGATAATTTGCTACATAATGCATATGTGGCTACAGTATATGGATATTTTATGTTTTGCATGTAATGCATTTAGAGCTTATATAGATATCTCAAGGACAAAACTTCTGTTGAATAGCACATTCTTACAACTCTCGTTTTAATGTCTATGCTCCTTATCATGATGTTTCTACATCCTATTCAAAATATAACACATAATTACCAGCACACTTTTTCCATACATTCATTTACCTTTCCAGAAAATACGTTGTATATCATGTTTATATGTGAGCGTTACTCTCTGAACTGAAGCCATGTTGTTTGGGCGTTTAACCAGAAAGTACTGAATATTTATTTTATTACTGCATAGAACTGTATTTTACACAAAACAAGTCTAAGTAAAAAAAATATTCTTGGATGGAAATGTTATTTTCTGCAAAACTTGCTTTCACGTTTAACAATGTTATCCATAACCAGCTCAGGTCTCTGAATAAATATACTTGTGTATATATATATATATACTGTATGTATGTGTATATATATAATATAAATTAATTACTTGTGTTATGCACAATACATCCCTATTTACATAATGGTTTATCATTTTGCATTTACTATCCACCACATGGTATTATTTTATTTTGTATGTAATAATTTGTCCCTATATTTCAACGAACACTACATTTTGTGCTTCATTTTTTCAAATACTTATTTCAACGACGTACAAATTCATTGCAGGCACACTATACAGTATGTCTTCTAACCTTTGTCCTATAGCCCATTACCTGCAGGTAATATTGTCAGGATATACATTACTTCAACATATTGGAAAAAACAACAACTGTATTGTTATTACTTGATCACTGTTATTTGTTTGGAAATTACATTTTGTCCGCCAATTATTCTTTTCAGTTTTACATTTCAAACAGACACCATATCATTTTTAGCTCTAGAGGAGACATCCATTGTTACTTTCAGGCTTTTGTAAAAGGATTAGGGCTGTCAGTTGATAAAAGATTTTTATCGCATTAATCACAACAATTCCTCTCTTATCATCTAACATGCAAATGCAAATAAACGTATTTGAATTAACCAAGACATTTCTTTTGTCAAAAATAATAAATAAAGAACCTTGTTTATGTAAGGAACAGTTCAAATGCTAATACATCTTCACTTGTATGTTTTTTGTTTAATTTAAAATAGAACATACATTTCATCTCAGTTAAACAAGCTCCAGTAAATATCTGCCATGAATCTGAAGACAGTGTGTTACATGTGCGTTGGGAAGTGTCATAACAACCAGATAAAGAGAGGAGACAAAGGATAACAAAGTTACGGCCATGAAGTGAGGAGCTTCAGAGACCACTGGTCAGCCCTCACTACCCTAAGTACCACCAGAGCACCTTCATCTGGGTGTGTGTTCAGGGGCGGATCTACGGGGGGGGGGCAGCTTCCCCTTGAAGCATTTCCCCTTCGACTAGTTTTGTTTTTACTAAAGACGAGAGCTTGAAACAACATATTACTAAAACGCTGCTGTTTGAATCGATAGCGTTTAACAGACAGTCGCTGTTTGGGACGTTACGTTGCAAAATACTACACAGAAAGCGGTAGCTGGGAGATCGATCACTTTTATTTGCTAAACTATGCGGTACTATTAAATCCACGTAAATTACACATCAGAGCAATGAGGCCAGCTAAATTAAACCAGGATACATCCTTTACCGTCAAACTGGATCTAAACACAGCTACCTGTGTGCGTTTGATAAATACTTTCTGATTTTATATTTATTATATGCTATGCTACTTATTAGCTACATGGCCTTAAGGTAGGGACACACCAAGCTGACACCAAAGAACTGACACAGACAGACCCGACTGTTGTGTCGCCTCGCGTCTCCTGAGTGGCCATGTGTCGCACCAACCCAGAATCGAGGCATTTGTTATAGTCACAACATTTAATCTATTGATTCGTGTTCACCAACACGATTTTCCCCTTTTTTTCGTGTCACACAGAACGATTTTAAAAGCAATGTATTTCTATTGGTAGTATGTTTCGTGCCTGCAACACGTCTTTTTGTCCGGTCGGGTCTTGGAAGACCGGAAGCTGTAGGGTTAATAAAACATGTTCTTACTCAATATCATGCCACGATTAGTTTTTATTTTAAATCGTATAATGTCGGACTTTTTTTGCCGTCTGTGAGGAAAATAAATGGGGCTCAGAGCCTCAGAATACTGAAATCTGTATTTTTTGTAATCTTTTTTTCCTTCTAATTTGTTATTCTTTTATAAATAACACACTGTTATTTACTCAACAATAACACACAATTATCCTTGTTTTTATTTATTTGTTTAATTCCATAATCTCTGGCTTTCTTTGTCAGGAACTGAATTTCAAAATAACCAGAAACAGAAGTAGGCCTATATGGGACATTTTGAGCATCATTGCGATACACAGCCACTGAACTGATTACTCAAGATCCTCAGCTATGGTTTAAGCTCGGTGATTGGATGTTTTAGCCGCAATGCACGTTGGGATATGGTGTTAATGCAATATGAAATCCGAAAAACATTTCAGAGTTTAGGATGGCCGAAGACACTACACTACCCATAATCCCCAGCTATCGATGGGACTACAGTCTCCGTGATTAATCTTCAAGCTATGGGATTGGATGTTGGAGTGGCAGTGTGCCAAGGTTACGCCGAGCGTCAAACAGCTCTTTGAAATGGAACGAAACCACCGCAGACTATCCAAAACTGGGATCGAACGGGACCAGCCCCCCCCCCAGAACTACACATGCTGGCTATTGTGTTTCGCAAAATGTTCTATGGGACGTCTCTACTTAAAACATATAATTAATAAATGGGTGAAAATCGCTTGTGTCTATAATGGGCAGCATTAATATATACCCACATGACAGCTCATTGTTACTTTGTAATTCTACTCCACTACAATTCAGAGGTTAACCTGGTATTTTTACTCCACTACATTTATTTTAGTTACTTTGCAGATTCTGATTAATGATGTGAAATATAAACAATATAAGCAGACTTTAGTTACACCTGAGTAAAATTCAGGGAAGGTGATTGTCAAGTGCCAACAATCAGGAGAGATATTTGATAGTTGGTGCTTGAGAAGACGAAACATGTATCTGCAGATCCCTATAAAGTATATTCATTACTCGTTATTCTCTACTAATAGTTAATTAAAGACTGTATATAATGGCTATTTTGCACATTCCTTTCAAGATTTCAAGATTTTCTAAGGTTTACTGACATATCAATCATACACAACTACGGTGTAGTTATGCAATGAATTAAAAGGTTCCTCAACAGTGCATTACAAGACATATCAATATGTATACATATACGATCTACATACATCTTATAAGAGTAGAATTCATATGTATAATTTTACAGGATATTGCTATATTATTTCACATGTTTTACTTCTACACATTAATATCTGATTTATAAAACACCACAGACAGAAAGGTATATCCGTCATTTAATGGTAAGCTATTGAAATTCTGAATCCATAGATCTGTCTCCCATCACCCAAAACCCCTGACTATTCTTTCAACTCAGTATTTACATTCTTATATTCAAAGAAAATCAGTAATATCTTTAAAAACTACAAGTTTATATCAGCTGTGCACCGTTATGGTGTAAATACAGCCTATTTACCGATTGGATCAAATATAAAAGCCGAATTAATGTTGATACTGCAAGAATCTTCACATAATTGTGTGACGAGAAATTGAAGATGTTGTTTAATTGCTGATATATTTATGATCCACTTCACGTATTCAGTTTCCGTGGCAGTTCTTCCAGTTTGTCTAGAAGTCTTTAATCAGGGCTCTATAAATAAAGAACTACGGCAGATGTGTAATATGTAATGCAGCCGAACCGTGTATTACAATGCCGTTATGTGATGGCTTCCAAAGAGAAAAGCAAGCACACTCGGAATAAAGTATTATTATTATTATAATTTTTTTTTTTTTTAATTCAGGATTTCATATCGCATAAACACCATATCCCAACGTGCATTGCGGCTAAACAATCCAATCACCGAGCTTCAACCAGAGCTGAGGATCTTGGGTAATCAGTTCAGTGGCTGTGTATCTGTTTCCGGTTCTTTTATTTTGAAATTCAGTTCCTGACGGACAGCAAAAAAGCCAGAGATTATGGAATTAAACAAATGAATAAAAAGGATAATTGTGTGTTATTGTTGAGTATATATCAGTGTTATTTAGAAAAGAATAACAAAAAAGATTACAAAAATACAGATTTCAGTATTCTGAGGCTCTGAGTCCCATTTATTTTCCTCACTGATGGCAAAAAAAGTCCGAGATTATACGAATTAAAATAAAAACAATAATCGTGGCTTGATATTGAATAAGAACATGTTTTTATGAACCACACAGCTTCAGGTCTTCCAAGTGTTGCAGGCACGAAACACACTACCAATATAAATACATTGCTTTTAAAATCGTTCTGTGTGACACGAAAAAAAGGGGAAAATCGTGTTGGTGAACACGAATCAATAGATTAAATGTCGTGACTATAACACGAAATGCCGTGAGTACAGAGATGGAGTACTCGAGTGCCGATTTTCGGGACTCGTGACTCGACTCGGACTCGCGCACT